TGGGTTAGCCTCATCACTGCGCTAAACGTGAGTCTAAGCTTAAGCATACTCCTGACTTGACTTCAAATTGCATTGATACAGATCGGGCAAAGTGGTGATCTAGGCACATGCGCACAGTGGTGCCTGTTATCAGCAAACCTGTAAGAGTTAATGTACCGGTTTCTCTTATTCTTGTACTTCACGATCTTCTCTCATCTCAGATTCTCCGACTAGAAACTGCGTCATTTGAACGCATCGAGTGCAAAAACCGAGAAAGAGCGCAATCAATCGCATCATTTTAATCAGTGAGTAGTATTCATAAATGTTCTCCCTTATCATTATCACTGTCTTATCGTTGACATCACGTATAAATTGAGCGTGTGCATCATATTATCGCCAGTACAATAAACAATTCATCAAATGAAGTCTAACACTCTTAAATATGTAATTTGTAGTAATGTATGGTTTGTGAATTGATTGTTGGGTCGTTGTTTACTTTAGATGAATTCTTCATCGTTACCGACTTTTTGCCGGCTTAAGCAGGTTTTTTGCTTTTTTTTAAAAGTTTTGATGATGAAATTTGCCTTCATTCAGAATGAATATGAGTGAAGAAGGCGGTAATTTGGGTGCAATGACATATCAATGTCTGATCAGTGGTGTTATTGAAAGAGTGATGCAAAGCCGACGAGATAATCCGAACGCTGTACAGCTTCTTCAAGTGTGTCGTTTGTTAATTCACTCATTACTTATGATTTTGAATGATTTGCCTAATCGATGNTTCGAGCAAATGCTATTACACCAATAAATTTCATCGTTAAGTTCTGAACTTGTAAATGAAAGAAGCAAGAAAATAGTACGAAACTTCACAAAGAAACAACTCAAAAAATCGCTTCTTTTTGTAAATTCCCATCGATTTGGTTTTGATGAATTTGTATTGTTGTTGAAAATTTTCAGAGTCTACGTGAAATAATGCGGAACGCCGAAATTGCCTCTCCGTCGTTTCTTTTCGACTTCACAAAAATTATCCTCAACGACTCAAAACTGAATATCAACCTACAGGTTTTTAACAGTTGATTGTATTCTCACTTTTCCTGTATTTCACTCGTAAAAGAATTGCGTATCCGAGTGAAAACAACCGCATAATTAACCACTCGAATCTAAAAATTTTTGTTTTTTATCATTAAAGAAGCTTAACACCTTACGAACGGATAATGTCATCCATCACACTTTCAGGAAGCATATCTTCGAATGCAAGCCAATGCGCCCACTGATGATCTAGAATTACCATTAGCAAAAGAGCCTCAATTCATTGAGTTGTCAAAGAGGTGAATATTTGCTATTGAATTATGTTTGAAAATAGTGAAATTTAAAATGCCATAATGTGAAACCTTGAAATGCATCGAGTAAAGAATGGCAGTTGTTGTTGCAGAGCAATCGCCTTACGTCGTGTACTAGCTCGTGTAC